TGAACTAATTCCCATTCAGCCATACGTAGCCCTCCCTTTGAATCTATCAACTTTTACCAGATTCCCCTGGGATAGTAAAATCACTGGCCGGTCTAAACCTCCCGCTCCCGCCAATCCTTGCATAGATTGCACTCGAAACCGTGAACTTCGTAGGTCGGGCGACTTTGTAGGTATCCCTAGTGAGTGGGTCTGTTCGGTTGCTAAAGGGAGGAGGGTCGTTTTTGCATTCGAGTTTCGTTGTTCAGTTTTCGGGATAAATTGGGGGAATCTGAACAAAGAAATCGAGAAAAGTTAGGGACGTTGAAGAATCTAGGAAGATGGTATTAGAATTGGAAAGCTATAGTAGAATGGGGAAGGCTGTTGTATCAAAACAGGGATTTTTGCAAGGAGGTGTGTTCTGCAATATTCCCCCCCCCCTCCCAACAGCAGGACATGCCTTGACTCGAAATCTTCTAAGATTCTTTAATGAAGTCGATAGCGTGATTCATCCCGGAGAGGGATAGAGCAGCGCCAGTTGCATTACTCTTTCTTACCCGGTTAGATTCTTTTCCTAGTTCTAAACTGAATAGTCCAGATCGCGATCCGAACATGAACATGTTACGAGCATTGTTTTCACGGATGCCTTCGTCTGATGACACGTTTACTATCGATTGTATAAAGGTGGGAGTTTTGTTAATATTAGCCGTTTTTCATGCACGTGTTAATACTCGATTACCATATTTATTTTATTAGAATGTAAATTAAAGATCCTGATCGAAGACCCATCAACGTGTAAACGTGTTTCTGACAACGTGGGAAATCTGCTGAAGAAGCAAATGGCTGCTGGTGATTTGCATATTGGAGGGGGTAACAAAGGAGCATCGAAGAAAAGTCCACAGAAGTTATCCATGGAACAGGTAATCTGAGTTTAGCTGCTGAAGGTTATGAGTCTTATTATCTGGGATCCTATGCTATTTATCCCTCAAAGAGTGTCCCTTTTGTTCGCTGTTGAGCATTCCCTGAAGACTTTCGAGAAGCTACCCACAGAGGAGGATGGCGGGTCTTTCATCCCCAATAGCCCCGATACTTCCGTTTAAAATGGAAGATCTCCCTCAACGCAAGTGCTGGTGAAGATTTTTCCTCCCGAACGAGAAGTATGGCGGGAAACGTAATTTGCCGCGTCACCGCGCGCGGCGTATCGCGCGGTCATGTGCGGCAAATTCACGATGTGGCTTAGTTTAGTTTGTCAATTAAAGCAGCGGAAATCATACGAATTCAAGCAAATACAAGATTCCATGATGGGCGATATCGGATTTCTCCACCCCTTTTCCACCTATATTCAAACAGCCAAGCGTGACAACTCGTTCATTGGGCGCGGCTTCGCCCGTGCCCATCTGCGCGGCGCATTACGATTGTCTTGTCACATAGTGTGGTATGAGTCCCTCGTGCTGGGAATTGAAATAGGGCTTCGAGCCAGAAGTTTCTTTTTACTTCGATATAGTCCAAGGTTACTGTGCCATTTGATAGGTACATGTGCGCAGCTTTAAAGTTTCTTACTTCCCAAGCCTATTTAAGGTATTGGCACATCTGGAGCAATTCACTCAGTTATGCCTAATGAAGGAGAAGAAATCAGCTGAACAGATATTCTCGAACTCCACGGTATTAGAAGCTTTTATGGAGGCCGAGAAGTAGGAGCTTTTCCAAATTATTCGATTTTTTTCATTTGCTTTCCTTTTTACTTCTGTACGTTTTACTTTTTCACTTCTTTTTCTATGTGGTTTCATTTTCAGAAACGACAAAGTCGCTCCGTTGAGGTCGAAGTTTGCCCAACTTTTTGCTGTAGTAAATATCCTTCGTGACGAATCGCGGGATAAAGAGCAATCGTCGCGAACGCTCCGAGGAAACCGAAGCGGTAGTGCGTCTTCGTCCTCAAGTAAAGCAAGGCACAAGGAGGAGGATAAGGACGTGAGTTCTCTAAGTTGTCGCCTTGGACTCTTCCTGAAGTGCGTAGGATGAAGAGCAAGGTTGCTATTCGACGTAGGAAGGAGGGGCGGGAGGGTGGATTTGGTACATTCGCTTGTTACCGTTGGCTAGTTCGTGTGGACCAGTAAATTTCTTGTCCTAGTGAGCTCCCCGTGAAGCTGCGAAGTGGTACACGAAGCTACTGATTAGAGAAATCTGCCGGTCACGGTGGCCTGTACAAGCTGGCCTGAGTGTAGTTCGCTCAGTACTATTCGGTGCCCCTTCCAAAACCCCAGGCCGAATAGCGCCAGAGCTAATCTGTTTTTACTTCTACTTTCCTAACAATCGGTTACTAAATAGGTTTTGAACTACTTTTCCCCATTCATCCGGTGCCCTTTGATTCGCTCGAGATTGCACTTGTTCAATACCTTTCGCTGTGCTGCTGCTATTATTACTTGCAGTCCCCTCCCATACTTCCGTGGCACTTATAAATACCTCAATCACTGCCTACAAAGGAAGTCAGTCACTTATTTCTGGCTGGGTTGGTTTGATATATGAGGCTAATCAAGGCCAACTTTGTTATGTCATATCTGTCTTGGTAGCTGATTAAATGTAAAGGTTGATTCCAAAAAAGTGAAAAGGACCGGAAAGAGTTGTCTCTAATCGCACCTACATTTGGCATTGATGGGGTCACTTTGGCAATGTTCATAGGATAGGGCAAAGGAGCGTAGTGTTGGTATCGGCAACCAGGTATCGAAGTTCACTTAAATTCAATGGAAACGCGATGTAGGTTGCCTTTTTTTTGCTTTTCGAAAAACGGAAATTTTTGCAGAAAGAAGCTGAAAATAGTGTGCTTGAAGGAGCTGGGTATTTCTGCTCTCTCATTCATTCTTCTGGTTTCTTATGAGGATGAGGTGGCAAACGGCACGCTTACGAAGTGGCAGGCGCTGTCCGGTTGTCAAATCCCAGATCGGTTCCCGCGCAGGCCAGCAGGGACTTTACCCTCCGGAGACAGTGAACTGGTACCAGATTTGTACTGGAGGATAAGAACACTGTACATCGGTCGGTCCCTAGGAGTCATTGTAATTGTATTGCTACTATTGCTACTTCGCAGTTAGTAGACCATCTTAACACGTTGACGACATTATGAGCCACCGGTGGCTCATAAGTGAGTGGCCACGTGGGACAATTTGAGCCACCGGTGGCTCATAACTTTCTCCATCACTTTTCGGGTTATTGCCGGCAGTCTCAATCGATCTTTTTCTTGCTTTCGAATAACCTGTGAAAGGTGAATGTCCAACAGGGATGAGCAAGGAAAATGTTGCTGCCTGCATGGGATATTTTGAATTAAAAATTGAAATTTTCAACTAGCTACTGCTGCGGCAGAAACCTCCAAAACAGTTCTTTTTGGACGGAACCTTGGCTGCAGGGACTGCGCGGGCTTTGATCATGAACGTGAGATCTTATTTGTCGTTGGCGCCATATGGCGCCAGATCTTATTTGTCGTTGGCGCCATATGGCGCCAGTAGGCGCCATTTCGGCGCTAGCAGTCTTTTTGGCACCGAATGCGATAGAAACCTCCATAGCTAGGTTATTTGACATCCTTGTCACGAATATATCGTTGCCTTTCAGTGTTGGCGCCATCAGGCGCCAGCGGGTGCCACATTTTGGGAATCACGATCGCGCTAAAAAGTGGGCGTGATCGCAGAGGGCGGGGCATGAGATGGCATCCAATAGGGTCAAGGATGGTTGAAATAGCAGTCCCTGCACGACTGACTAATCATTTTGCGAAATTTGACATAGCGGCAAAAAAGTGGTCCACGAGGGACAATATGAGCCACCGGTGGCTCAAAGCGGACGCATGCGAAAACACGCCATTGTCCCACGCGGCGCTTTCCCGCAAAACGCGATTGTCGTCAACGTGTTAATTCGAAATGGAAGTCGAATGCGGGCCACGTTCAAAAAAGGGATTGATCAATGGCGAAGACTCTTCTATCCTTTGAAGTTTATTGTGAAGCTGCCAGGGGCATTATCTGCTTTCTCGTCAGTCATTAATCATTCACAGTATAAACAAGGTTTTTCGACACTTCGCGCCCTGCTGTTTAGTGTCAGGCTTGTCCAAGAGGATCAAAAGTGCTGACTTTAACTCACTGAACCCTTGCAAGTGTTTGTGCATTTAGGAAAAATGCACAATCTGGAGCATCAACGACTCCGCTCGGGGCCCACTCGATTGGGTTGAACAGGTCTTCAGTACGGCAGAACCATTCTGTACCGTGTATCTAGCGGTAAGGAGGGTCGCAATCGCAGACGCAGTGGAGTGTGTGGCAACGGTTTTGGGGTTTCCCTGGTCCTTCCTAGCGTTATTGGAACTCGTTATGCTTCAATTTCATTAACTTTGGTAGCGAAGACTACGTATTTCATCCCAACCTGCCACTTTTACGCAGACCATCACACCGCCAGCTTGGGACCCACGTGTCTCCTGTATACGGGGTGCACTGTACTGAATCGTTACTTTAAAGGCATGAGGCAGATAATTCGGTACCCGTCAAAATGCTTGCAGGGTGCTACGTAGTGAGGAAATGGCGAAAAAAAACGAAGTGAAACGGTCAAAAACCTGCGAAGAAAAGCCTTCGTTCTTCATGACTCAAAAGCAATTTCGGACGAGTTTCCCGTAGGCATCTTGCCAATAACCGCTACGGTAGATACGGCTGCACGTATGTACTCATATATCCATGCAGCACCGCAGCCGCTTCATATCAATCCTTCGTTTCATACTGTGCTTCGCAAAAGGCGATACACCATCATCGGTCGGACATTTGTGGGCGGGCGGGCGCGGTGGGCGTCCGGGTCGGTATGTTGCAGCTTGATAGGGCGCTATAAGGGTACCTCTCTTGGAAAGGGCGCCACGCAACGCCTGCTCGGGGGCGCCGAATTCTGTCCTGCTAAAATCCTACACATCTTGGGGATTCACCGCTCCACTTGTCTCCGAGGTCCTGAGTGTATCCCAGTAGTTGGATAGCTCTTTGCCTCAGCAATTCCACCGCTTCTAACATCGTTCCACTAACCCCAAGAACATCCAATCCCAAGAGGGAAAGCAGTTGGTTAGGTTTTCTCCGAGGGATAGACTTCTACTAAGCTTCATTACTTATCCCCATGTGGCTTATTCACCCTTCTCTGACCTTTTTCATAGCCACTTATTTTCTTTTTTTTCAGTACATTTCGAAGTTTTAGCCAAATGAGGCCTAATTGAGGACTATTTCAGGACGACCACGTGCCAAAGAAGAAGCCTCGTCGAGTGATCACAATTGGCTCGTCGTCGTCATCATCGGAAGACAGCGAATGACGTCGTCAGCGACTGCCAAACACGCTTGGCCGTGACCGCCGCCAGCGCCGTTGCGGCAGCCGTGGGTGCAGCTCTGCGTCTGGGACGTTGCCTGGTACCTCTGCACCACATCGCGCTCATGTCACACTCACTGCGCGCGCTGCGCCTCCCATGTGTCTGGCATCATCGCTCTGTTTTCTTCCTCATTCTCCTTCTCATACTCCTCCATTCTCTCACCTCGATCTCCAATCGCATCGCCTTTCTCTTCCCAGCTATTGGCCACCATCAACCCGATGTGTGGTTGCGATGAGAGTACTTTTTAGAGATTTGGTCTTGAGGAAAGGGGATATATGGGAAGTCAGAAGAAGAGCGAGAAATGCTCCCATCGCGGGTTCACGTCGGGGATTCTCAATTTTTCATGTGTTTGTTTCATCGAGTGATAAGAATGTACAGAAATTTGGCTGTATGTGGTCCTTGTAGTATAGTCAACATAGTTTTTACAGTAATTTTCAATTTGCCACTCGGTCAATCTTTCATGTAGTCATTGGTATTTAGTTTGTCCTCCCGGATAGAGCAGAGCAGTTGAGAAAGTTACTAATCGATCAGTTGGTAAGGGAAAGGGGCGTAATGTCCGAATTTCGATCGATTACCTTCTTGTTGGCTTTCTCTTCTGTAAATAACTCGATATGAAAACGCGAGAAGTGGCCAGGATTTAGGCTTCAGCGCCAAAATGGGAATGTCAGAGATGATGGGGCGATAAGCGGCTACTTGACTAGACCAGCGCTTATATTTAGTCCGCCATGTAGTCCTGAGGATAGCCCTGGAATCGCTAGGGCCAAGCTAAATGGAAGAAGTGAGCTGCACCTCGGAATGGTGGCATAAGATTGACTGAGCCTCAGGATCAGTCACTCGCAGTTGTTCGTTGTAGGATATGGTAGGTATACGGTATGGACGGGTCATTTTTGTGTGTTTTGGTGTTGATTTTTTTGTGTCTCGTTGTGCGTTCTCTTGACTTCTTTTTTCCTCTTCCTGGTAGTTTCCAGAATTTTCCATGAATAACTATAGCCCCCCCCCTACACACCTTGTGCGTTGATCTAGTTTTTGTGCGGTTTGTTGTTTTCACTTGGTTTGCTCTCGTTTCTTCTCCTTTCCTTCACGTTCTCACGACTAAATCACCCAATTGTCTTGATTTGAAATTATCGTCATCATCGCTCTTCTGAAGATTTTTTTGATGAGAGAATTCTTGTGTTTAGCATTCATACATGTTGAACAGGGTTTTCCATGTTCCTAATGTCGCAAAATAAATAGTTTTAAAAAATGATAAATAATTATTATTTATTTTGTGCATGGATTTCGCACAGTATTCTATCGGGAAGATGTTTTATGTGAAATGAACAGCTTGGTGCTCCCAGTCAAGGGGCACAGACCAGGGCGTCTTGAGGAAAAAGAAAAAGAAACGACTTTCCCCTCCCCCCCCCAGGGCACATATTAATTGGAGATTTCGGTAGACAGTATGATTCCCTCCCCCCCCCTCCCCTTCTCCCCTAAAAGGTGGCTTGATTCAACCCCCCTTCTCCCCTAAAAGGTGGGTTGATTCAACCGCCCCCCCCCCTTCCCTTTCCTCCTGATACTGCATCGATCTGTCGAGCTGAGGGGAATATACCAAGTGCATATGAAAGGATACGAAAAGTCAAACCACTCCAACTATGACCCCCCCCCCACCTCATAGCGT